AATCCCCAGTGTGGGCTCTGAGAATGGACCTCAGGTTATGAACCACTAAAGCAGGCTTCTGTCAGCCCGCAGCAGGGCACTAGAAGCATTCACGGGATGCCTACTGTATCCCAAACACTGAGAGCAGGACCCAGATGAAGATGGCTAGGGGAACATAGAGGGCAGACTGTTCTCTTTAGGTTCACCTCCCTAGCAACCCCACTCTGGAGGCTCAGGGCTGAAGAATCTTGCACAATCAAACATGTTCCCACTCAGTTACAATTTTACAAATTCCTAAGGAACAATCTGGATAAAACTTGGCCCACTGCAACTTGTATGTCAATTTTTCCACAAGACCCACTGAAGTGCAGTAGTTTCATTTATTCATAAATCAGTATCAAGCATCTATGAAGTACCAGCCTCTGGGATGAGTCAACACAGAGTCAAAACAGGTCCAGCATGACTCAGCCTGTGGTTGAAGGGGGGAAGCATAAATAATTACCCCAAATCAATGTGTATACCAAAGTGCTTCGCAGAAGGGGAGCACAATCAGAAACTTGACTTGGAGGTAGGGATGCTCCATGACACATTTGGGATGATCAGACTAAATGTTGAGGGTAAAGGAAAGGTGGTGCTCCAGCAGATGACCAAAGGATTTGGGGAAAGGGCTCTTGACACAGCATGTCCAAAGTCCGAAAAGTGTTGGGGGTAGTTTTGGGGTGGGTGGTATCACTCAAGCAAGGAGTTAACAGAGTAGGTCCCTTCAGAAGGGAGGTCTTGCTGGGGAATTAGCTCAGCAGAATAAGCGCTTGCCTGGCAAATGTGAGGTTGTGAGTTCGATCCCCAGTACTAAAAAAAGATGCAAAACCGAAGGGAAGTCTTTATCTCAGAAGCAGGAGAAGCCAGTGCTGGGTGTTTTAATTGTCTGTGAGGGGGTGGCAAAGATGGGGGTCACCTGATCAGACCTGCATTGTTGGGATACTGCTATAGAGAAGAGGCAGCAATTAGAAGACAGCCAGTGTAGAAGTGGAAAGACCTGTCCAGTCTTTTACAGTGGCCCAAGGCCTGGTTGGGGAGGGGCCTAGGACTGGTTAAGGAGGCCAGCCCTGGAGATGGGTGGATGTTAGGACTGTTTGAGAGGTGAGATATCTCTGGTTGTATTTAGAGGGTGGAGAGAGAAAGTATACATAAATCCTAGGTTTATGACTAGAATATAGGTGGCTAGCTGAGCTGCTTGGAGGGCCAGGGAGCAATGTAAGAGGAGCAGGCTTGAGGAAAAGTTCCTGAACATGGATAAATCACACGAGCCCACACACTATGCCCACACAGGCCACTATGTTAGTTAGGGGAATTCCAGTAAGACAAACCTACTTTAAGGACAAATAGGGGTCTCAGCAATGGCTGCAGGAATTCACCGGCCTCAAAAGTGCATCTATGGCTCCAGCAGTGATCAGAGCAAAGGTCCTGGCCTTAACGCTACTAAGACGCTCAATAAATGTCTGTTAGGTGATTGCCTGTCCCACGTGCTGCACGCAGACAAGCAGCACCAGGGAAAAAACGAAAAAGCAAAAGCCAGAAGTCTTTACTCCAAAGGTTATTGCAAATATAACCTCACCTCAAGGTAAGAGACAGGGAAGGGCAAGATCAGCCCTTCTCTCAAAAAGGGTTTGAGGAAACCAAGGAACCATAAAGTTAAGGACCACACAGAAAACTACAGGGAAAAACTGGGCCATGGGGATTTCACTACGGATGGCCAAGAGGCAAGAGGGATTCAGTCAGCAAGGGGACCATGGACTAAAGGCACCACAGAAGGGAGCAAATGTTTCCAGACGATACCACCTGAGGGAAGCATGAGCAACAGCAGGACAGGGGCAGGAAATGAAGGGGCACCCAAGATCAGGCAGGAACTCTCCTGGCAGTTTCACCATAGGTGGCATCTTACCCCACCAGGAAGATGCCAGACTCCTCTCAAATACTTGCATGAAGGAGATTAACTGTTTTTAAAAAGAAGTCTTCTTTAAAGACCCTAGGGACTTTTTCTCAGAAGACTTAGTAGAAACTCCTTAATTATCAGAGAACCTCTAGTTACATTCAGCCCTCCTCCCACCACCATAGCCCAAAAAACCCATCACACCAACCTTTGAACTATTTCCTATCTTCCCCGGAAAAGTTCTTTCTGGCGTCCCCGCTGTCACCTACCTCCACCCCCTCCCCGCAAGCCTCAGTTCACTTTAGCCAAGTCTCCTTGCTCTTTTTCTAACAAAGCGCGTTTCTTCCCCAAGTATCTGCAGCGTGGGAACTGTCCTTGTCTGGCTGTGGCTCCCAGGACGGGCCTCCACATCCCAGCTGCGGATTTGATCCCTGGCTCCGGGGACCAGGTCCAAATTAGTGACACGCTGAGTGGGGGAAGGCAGGAAAAGGACCGCAGTTCCTGTGCCTGGAAGAGCCCCGATGTCGGTGGCACCTGGCCCAGGTGCCAGAGACCCTCCGCGGAGAACACAGCCTGGGTGGCGACCCCAGGGGATGACACAGCGCTTCCTCTGCACCCACACCCCCGCTCTCCCTACACTTCTGGTTCCATTCCTGCAGGATACCTGCCGGCCACTTCGCTGCGTCAGCGAATTCTCACAGGGAGGAAAGAGTCGCCCGGCCGTCACACCCAGCGGCGTACTACAGACCCCGAAAGAGCTGGAGGAATAGGAGCGTGACCGCGGGGTGTGGATGCTGCCCAGGAGCTCGGCCAGCAGCTCAGGAGGGATGTCAGTCCTACCCGGGGGAAAAGTTAGAAAGCATCCTGGGCAGCACAACTTTTCATCAAGGGAGTCGAACTTTATACCCAGAGCAAGTCGCCACACAAGCCGGAGAGACCCTGCAAAGCTGCTGGGACCCAGGCTGCCGAACCCGGGCGGCTGCCAGCAGCAGCCAATCACAGAGTGCCTCGGGCGGAACGGCTAAAGGGCTTGAGGACCCGGGGAGTGACGGCGCCGTCCGCCAATAGAGAGCCAATGTGGGCATCCTCACCCATCTCACTGACCAATGGGAAAGGGTGGTTGTGGCCGATGTCCCCGCGGCACTAGCTGCGGGTTCCCGTGGCCGCGGGTCGGGGACCCTAGAGCTGAAGGGGACTTTGAAGGGGAGTTTGCTTGCCCTCCCTGTACTACTCGCGTGCCCACAGACCCCGGCTCAATCCTCACCTGCTGGAAGCGGGGTTTTCCCAGCTGAAAAGGAGGCGCATCGGTTGCAGCATTAGCTGCGCTAGCCGCCGCCGCCGATGCTGTAGTCGCTGTATCCGCCATGGCCACTGACGCCTGCAATCCCCGGCCCTTTTAAAATGTCCCTCCTCGGCCCCCGCCACAGCTGCCTCTCCCGATTGGCCACAAGCAACCGCAGCGAACAGGGCACGCGAGAGGTTGTGGGAAGTGTAGTTTTTCTCATCTCGTTTCGGCGCCCGGCAACCTCCGACTGCAGAGTCGCACCCACGCAGGTTGTATCTCCGTTCCAGCCAGCCGTGTTGCATGGTCTGGAGGCTGGGAACGGTGGTTATGTCCAGCCCCAGCCCTGAGGTCCCAACAGAGAGCCACGCGGCGGCCACTCTGCTCTCCTGTCCCTAGAACTTTAAAGCGCTGCCAGAGGGTATTTAGAGCAGCAGTCTACAACCCGGGCAACACACAAACAGGTCCTACTCAGACAGGATGGGCAAGGACCCTAGGCAAAGCAGTGTTAATTCTGAAGCCTTTCAGCAAGGAGTTGCAGTGTGAAATTTTGCTGCAGTTTCTTCACACTAGCTAGCCTGACCGTGGTTTTGCGCTGCCTGATCCCATTTAACACCGTGTACTCACTCAGAAGACTTTTCTCCTAATGCAGGCTCTTTCTGGCCTCAGAAAATACTTATTTTCCTGACCTATGCACAAAATCTATTACAGGATCGATCTATAGTCTCTGACACTTTTTTGCAGCACTTGAATTTATGATTTTTTGTTTTTGATTTTGGTACCAGGGATCAAACTCATGACCTCGCACTTGCCAAGCAGGCACTTATAACACTGAGCTAAATAAATCCCCAGCCCTGTAACTGTTTACAAATTTAAATACTTGTCTTTTCTACTATAGGGCCCATAGGGCTGGGGTTGTTTTTTTAATTGAATACAGGATCACGAGCTTGCCAGGCAGGTGCTGTGGGGCTGAGTTATATCCCCCGCCCAGGGGGGCTGTGACTTTTTGATTCACTAAGTCTTCAGGACCAGCCCTATTGGGAGGGTTCATATTAGAGACAACTAAGTGCTGGAGTTCAACATTCAGGGCTTGAGAGCCTTAACAGCCCTCACTCCTTTGACCATCAAGGAAAACCTCTCCCAGGCCTAATTACTAGAGGGTGAGGAATAGGGTTCAGTAGTGTTTTGTCAAGTACCGGCTACAAATACTTTAAATGTGGCAGTACAGCAGGTTGTAACCCAAGCCTAGCAGACACCTACTCCTGCAGAATAGGGGCATACCAAGCCAGGCTGGGGTGGAGGAGGTGCTGCTTGTTTCATCCATGAAAAAAGAATTATTTGGTCTCAACTTGAGGGAACTCTTCCGGGTCTCCATCTGATGGTGAGGTGTAGGGTTGGCCTACACCTGCTCATCTCTTTCTGGACACTGCATGAGTAGCAGTCCAAGTTCCTCATCCACTCACTAATGGTTGAACCTAAAGAAATAGATTTTTCCTAAAGCTGGGGAAAGTCTAACTAGCTATGAGGAACAGTCTGAATGTGGGATTTGTATCTTCTCTCCTCATACTAGACTAAGTAGCTTGAAAACAAGAATCAAGTCTTGTAAAAAAAAAAAAAAGAGTCAAGTCTTTGGCCCTCTGTATTCCCCCATAGTACCCAATAAATGTGCAATAGTTGGTGCTCAATAAACAGGCACCCTGAAAGTGGGAAAACACTGTGTCACATCACTGGGCTGCTGGCTGTGACACTGGAACCCCACAGGCAGCCTCTATGAACCACTCATTGAAAACAGGAAAGCGATAGACCACCTGCAGTATGTGAACTTTTTATTCTTCATAAAGTGCTCAAAACATGAACAAGCTCTTTATAAACTGGAGGTCCACCTAGGAAGACAAACAGCAACGCAGAACTGTGCTTGCTACCTGCACACCCCCTGGAACCTTGTGATAAAACAGCAAACAATCCTTGGCTGTATTCAATTCAAAACTGCTTCTGAAGATACATCTACCCAGGGCTGGGTCTGGAACCAGAGAAAGGAGGGGAATGGCCTTCTCCTCAGAAAAATTATTTCTTCAATCTTTGATGACCCTTCAAAACTGTGACTGAAGACTAGGCACCTGTGGATGCATTTCTCAGCTCTGGTGAGGGAACCTTAAGACAGACAACTGCAAAGGCTTTCGCTAGGTGCAGGGCCCCTCCGTTCCATTCTGGCAGAAAACAGACATCACCCGCAGAACACATCCTGAGGAATTCTGAGCAAGCCCACAGGAGACAGCCCCACTAAACTAAAAATATCCCCCTTTGGCATGTCCTTACTCCCCATCTTTTGCTAATGTGGGTGCTCAAGGTACCACAGGATGCCTGCAGATGTCATGGGGAAACCTGCCATGTTTTCCACAAGAAAACCAGGGGCTGGGCCAAAGGACAAATACTTCATTTCACAGTGCACTGCAGCCAAGCCAGGCAAGGCAGAAGGGACAGACTGGGACAGCAGCTTAGTGGATGCGTGGGAGAGCAACAAAGGAGAACGAACGGGTGTCTCCTAAGGCATAGTGCAGTCTCCCACTTCCAGAACAGCCAGCTGCTCCAGCACGGCTGTCCTGAGGCCAGGCCAGGACTGGCCCCAGACCGGTAGCTTGCCAGAGGTTTTTCCAAATGGCACTAAAGAGGAGGGGGAAGACAGGAAGGTTAGTAGCAGCAGCTTGGCCAGACCCTTGGCTAACTCAGAGAGGGGAGGAACATACAGCAGGAATGTTCAACCCCGTTCTCCTTCCCAAAACCCTGACAGAGCCATCCAGGTATGCTCAGACAGGAAGGAGGGGGATGCCACAGCAGGAAAGAGATCTACATCCAGAGGCTCTTGACCCCATCCATGAAAGGCACATTTTAATTGGTTTCCAAAGTTCAAACCCTGCAGGAGCATAGAGTTTTGGCATCTGGACAGAAAACAAGAACAGACATGGAGGCTTGACCCCAAAAACATAAGCAGCCTACAGCACTGACACGGTGGGCCTGTACATCAGAGATAAGTGGGAACCGGAAGTGTGAGGAGGAGCTCTCTGCACCCAGCCCTACCTTCACAATCACCAGTGACACTCAGTGGGAAGAAGGTCCAAAAAGGGGCTGGGAGCAGTCTGGACAACAGACATCATCACCTCCTTCCACACCGCACTCTGCCACAGCTCAAAGCAGAAAAAAACTCGGGACATGGCACAGACTGGACCACAGGCCCCTGCTCTCAGAGAAAGAGGGCCAGGCAGAAGAGTAGGCACCCAGGTTGCCCACAACTTGGACAAATGGTCAGATTGGTCCCTATCCCAGTCCCCATAATACTAGATCCCCTCCAGAGCCTGGAGGGAAATGAAGAGGGTAAGAGATTGCTGTGGAGAAGAATGGCAGACCATCCTTGGGAGCTAATAGCTAGTAGTCTGTGCTAGCAATAGCCTCTCTCAGATACACCAAACTGCAGTCCATTCCTGCGCATCTTGAGGGCTAATTTCTTTGTTACAATTCACAGAGCCCCCAAAGCTAAGGGATATGAAAAGACACAGGTGGGAAGGACCCAAGATCCCCAGACACAGGGTGTACATGGAACTTGGTGCCTCCAGTGGGAGTCCCAGGCCCCTCTTCAGAGAGGCAAGTGTGGGAGTGCAGGAAATGACCACAAGGACAGGCTGTACCTGCCCAGGTGTGTTTGGTGGGAAGGTGGGTGGGCAGGCGGGCAGGCACACAAGCCTGTCTGGGCAGCAGGTCCTCACCAACCCTCCAGGGATGAGGGTGGAGGTGGGGTGGCTACTTGGGGGGACCAGGAGGGATCTGCAGCAGTGTGGGTGAGGTCTCCATGATCCGCACCAGCAGCCGGTCAATGTAGCTCTCTAGCTCCTGCACGTGCTCATCCCGCTGGCTCAGCTCACGCTCTCGCTGCAGGAGCAGGCCGATGAGCTCGTCGTGTGTCAGGTGGTAGTACTTGGCTGACTGGTCTGGCACAGCAGAGTCCTGGGGCCAGATAGAATGGGTGTGAGTAGCATGGCCAGGCCTGGGGCTCACCTGCCCCACCAGCACCCTGTCCTCCCACCATGGACCTAGAGCTACCTCTGACACAGGCAGTCGAACTGGCCTCAGGCCTGGTATGGAGGACCCAGTCTCCTCCTTGCTCCACAGCTCCTAACCTTTCTTTCAGATGCCCCTTGCACTCTACTGCACCTCACCTTCAGCCTCTTGGTGTCCACAGTCTGGCCAAGTTGGGGTGCCGGAGCCACAAGCTGACTGCTACCAGAGGTGACTGTTCTGAGCTTCTCCAGTCCACTGCACAGGGCTGTGCTCAGGCTGGAGCGGGGCTGCTTCCTGTCGGGGCTGCCCTCCACAGGGGTTGCACTGAGGGGCTTCACAGGGTGGGGACTGCAAAGACAGAAGGAGATGAGTTATTGGGAAGAGAAGGATGGTATAAATGTGGGGCTGCCTTCTCTATGGAGTCTCTAGGTCTGCTGGACAGCTGCCCATGCATGCCTCAATCCTCCTCTCACCGTGTACTTCCTCCCCACTTGACTCCCTCTTGGACCTGAGGAGCCAGCACGTTGACAGACACAGCAGAGATGCCCCTACACACTTCTGTTTCTGGACTCAGTCTGCCAGGGATGCCCCCTCCAGCCATCTTCCCTCCTGTCTCTTCTACACTTTTTCTAATTATATTTCTGGAGGGACAACCAGGTTTCCCTAACAGTATAGGATTCCCAAGATAGTGCTAAAACTAGGAAAGAACTAGGCAAACTGGGACCAGATCTGACCTCAGATGAGGCAAGATGGTGCACCCCTATAGTCCCAGGGCTAGGAAGCCTGAGGCAGGAGGATTACCTTGAGTTCCAGCTTGGGCTACATAGTGAGTTCAAGGCCAGCCTGAACTACATAGTGAGATACTGTTTCAAAAACCAAAAGGATCTAACCTTTCCAGTGCATAAAAACCCTTTAGTGGCATCTGTGGGGGTAGAAAACAATCTAACACATCCTGGGCCTGCCCTTTCTTCATAGCCTACAACTCCCCTAACCACAGGAAGCAGTGCTATTTTTTTTAACTTCAGGCGCTAACAAAAGCTATTCCCTCCCTGGAGTGGGCTCTTTCTCCCACTAATCACATTCCTACTCCCATTTCAAAGCTATGCAAATAGGAGTACTCCAAGAAGCCTTCCTGATTCCCCACACTGGAATTCCTGAGATCCATTGTGCCCTATACCTATTGCACTGACAACCTGTAAGCATCAGGCTCTCAAATCAGCTAACTTCCCTTGCAGAAACTCACAAATTTACACTCATTCTGTAGCAGGTTTAAACCTCAGGTGAGCAAACCAAATGCTTAATCTCAGGCCCTAAACTCCACTGAAGGCAGAGGGGAAGCTGAGAAGCACAGTGCAGGGTTTGGAAAGCAGATCAGGCTCCAGCACAGCCTGGGTGAGGCCCCAGGCTCCTCAGGCTGGATCAGTTACTGGAGCTCACGGAGCTCTGCTCAGTGCCAGGCCAGTGAGGAAGGCTGAGGCCTCTGCTCACCCTGACCCAGAGAAGCACCTCTGTCACTGAAGAAAGGCTGTCAATCCAGGCTCACAGATTCTGAAAGTGGCCAAGTACTCACGGGTGGTGCAGAGCAGGGAAAAGATGTGTGCATGTCAGCCTTAATGCCACCTGTGAGCACACACTAGGTACAGGATAAGGCCACCTACGGGCAGTGTGGGGAAGGATGACCAGGAGCTGCCAGGAGCCTAGGTTCATGGTCTGACTGCCCCTACATCTGAAGGACCCTGGGCCCTGCAGCTCTTATCTGAGACAGCGAGCTGAACTTGGCTCTCTCATGACATGAGAACCACTTCATGATATGAGGTACACACCAAGGACAGACATAAAGCCAACTCTGAAAACAACAAAACTTCCTAAAAGTGTTGAGTATAATTAGAAGTTGTGCTGGAAGCCAACAGGGCCAGCTGAGGATGCTGTTATCAGGAAGCAGGGAAGCCACTCAGCCTTTCTCAGTTCCCCTCACTGTAGGGGAAACACAAAACCATCACTTGCCCTGGGGGAGAAGGGTGGAGATGCCCAGATTTGCTCTTGCTGTATCTCGGCTATCAGCCCTACCCTGCAAGGCTCCTTCTTCCCTAGACCTCAGCCTTCCTCCAGAGAGGGCAGACGGAAGAAAGGCCTGCAGACCAGAGAGGGCAGCCAGCGAGGCCGCCGCTGCGGTGGAGGAGTCTTTCTTCTGAGGGATACATATGAAAAAGGCATTTTGCTTTTCTTTCTGCCCTTTGAAGGTGCTTCCAGCTTGCTTCCCGACCTAGGCCCTGGTCCCTCTGGCTCTCTGCTAACCCAGGCTACCAGACAGAAACCTGCTCAGAGCTCCTGCCAGCCTGCTCCCTGGGGCCTCCTGGGGAGCTCACTCCCCTCCTCTGCAGTGCACATCAGCTCTCCCTCACTCCACTCCTCACCCCTGCTCCCTGTCACTGCTAGTGCCCCCCAAGCCCTGGTTTGTGCTAAGTTCTCATGACAGAGGCAGCTTCAGAGCTGGTAGAGGAGGCCCTCACCACCCCCTTGGCAAGGACAAGGCTGGACCGTGAACACCTCCACCCCTTTGCTGCTATGGCCCCTCCTCCCCTTCCTCTTGGGAAAGGTTCTCAGGGTAGAAGCTCACCTGGCACTGCGCTGTGGCTCTTCAGCTGGTCGTGTCTCCAAGGGCAGAAGCACAAGCGGGGAGGCTGGGGTGGCTGCAGCGTGGTCTTCCCCAAGTGGGACAGGGGAGCCTTCAGCGGGGGAGGGCTTAAAGAAGCCAGGGGGTGAGTCTGGCTCGCCTGGAGGTAGGGAGGAAGAAGTCAGGGGCCAGGCTCCAGGCGAGGGAGAGCATGGAGAGCCAGCTCCCCCATGGCGGTGGCTGGCCCAGGGCGGGAGAGGGGGCGGTGGAAAGACAGGCTCTGGGGGCGTGGGTGGCTCTTCTGAACCAGAGTGGATGGAAGAGTCCCTGGACCCTGGTGGGGATGTAGATGGAAGGCTAGGGGGATCTCGGCTCCCCTGAGACAAGGGGCTCAAGGCATCCTCCTCCAAGGCCCACACATCAGCCTGCTGGGGAGAGTCTGACAGAGGAGCAGGGCCCTCTTCCCCTGGCTCTTGGCTCTGGGCCTCGGGGCTTTCTCTCTCTGAAGCCCCCCAGGTCTGAAGACTTGGAAGAGCTGAGCTTGCTGAATAACATGGTACGGGCACAGTTGGGCAGGCCCTGGGCCCAGGATGGCTGCTGTCATCCAGCTCCTCCAGGCCTGGCTTCCCTAGCAAAGCCCCAGAAGATGGGCTATCCGACTCAGCTTTCTTGTCCTCCTCCCTGGTTTCCTGAGGACCAACAAATACAGCACTTGAGGCGGCATCTTCTGTCCCTGATCCCTGGTTACTCAGCTCCCCCGCAGCCTTGCCTTCCTCTTCTTCCACCTGTGAGTTGGAGGGCATGAAGAGGCGTGGTGGCTTGGGAGGTGGGCTGGGCTGCAGACCCTCATCCAACCCCCACTCATGTTTCAGCTCTGTCTCCAGCTCCAACAGGCGAAAGCCCTCGCTGTGTGTGGAAGTCACAGTTTCAGGTGATTCTGGCAGCACCTGGGGAGCAGGCAGCTCATCAGACTTCCCCTGTAGGACTGGTGAGGCCATCTCAGCTGCAGGAGAAATGGTGACCACATCCCAGGGCCAGGAATCATCAGCTGTACTGAGTTCGTGGAAAACCTGGCTTTCCTTTTGGAGGGCCTCCCCGTCCTGGCCCTCAAGAGTGTCATCCAAACCAGGCAGCTGCTCCCATGCACTGACTACTTCTGGGGAGCTGAACAGAGATTTTCCGCTATCCGCTGGACTCTGCCCTGCCCCACCTTCTGGGGCCAGCGGTTCCCTGTCTGGTGCCGAGGCCAAGGCTGGAAGCTGTAGCTCGGGAGACAGGGCGGTCTCTGATGACTCAAGGGGCCCCGGGTCAGATGCACTTGTGCTCTGCTGATCCAGTGCCAAGTCCGGAGGAGTCCTGGGCTCTGACCACGTGCTGCTCCCACAGCTTCCTCCCCCAGGATCTCCTTGGGGCTCAGCTGCATTTACTGCCATGGCCCCTGGGCCTGAGTCTTGCAGCCCAGCCACCTCCAACCCCACTCCTGCTGGGGCCAGGATCTTGTTCCTGGCCTCTGGATGCAGCCTGTTGGCAGCAAAGATGTTGAACGTGTCGTCCCACTCAGGCAGGGCTCTCCTAGGGGAGGCCAGGGGGGTGGGGCTGGCCCTGGAGGCACTGGGGAGAGAGGGAGCAGGTGAAGGAGAGTTTAGTGCTATGTTGGCTACCAGTTCCTCGAAGAAGGGGTTGCTCTGCAGGGAGGTGAGGAATGGGTTGGTGACACCCAACAATCCAGATAAGGTGGCTTCGGGGGTGGTGGTGGCGGTGGCAGCAGCAGCAGTGGCGGCAGCAGGGGAGGCGGCTGCAAAAAGGTTAGTGCTTAGCATGGGAGCAGCAGTGGGAATAGGAGTGGGGGGGGCCAGAGCCCAGGGGGAGCAGGGGAGGTGAGGAGCAGCAGCTGGGCCAGATTCTACCTGAGGAGACACGTCCAGGCTGTGGAGGAAGACAAAACCATGAGCCTCCTGGTTAATGCTGAGACCATTAACTGCCCTGCTGGGTACCATACCCCTGCCTCCTGACCCCCCACCTCTGCCCTACCCCCACCTCAGGACAAGGTGCTGCTGGCCACTGGGACTCGGGACAGGGGACAGGGGGAAGACACCAACATGTGACATTCTTAGGTACCATCCATCCAAGGAGAAGAAGCTGAGCAGAGCTAATTTAATCCTCACATCAACTCCAGACAGCTGGAATCTCATTTTACATGCAGGCTCCAAACCTAAACCAAGTGAGTCTACTTGACATTGGATTTAGGCTTAAAAATCAATCCAAAACCACCTGACATCCCTTTTAGGACTAAGAGCAAGCAAAGAAAATACGAGCTGGCTTGAACAAGAGCAAGAGACCAGAGCAAGGCAAAGCCTAGACTTGCCTGAACTAACCTGCCACTAGGAAAACCAAGCAGGGCACCTGGAATTCAGACTCCTGAAACAGGCTGGTCCTACTGATTTTTTGCAAAATAAAGAGGTAATAAAAGGCTGTCATCAGGCGTGACAAGGCATCAATCATTTCTTTGAGGAGGACAGGACACCTTCTGAGGGCACCTAAGGTCAGGCATCCACACAGCCCAGCAGATAGTGCCCCTCTCGCCACCACACCTCCTTCATGGGCCACCCTTAGGAGACAAAGGCTGAGAGCACAGCAGCCACAGCAACTCTGGATGTCACCGGTAATCTCAGGGGTCTTCTCCCAAATCCCCAGCTCCCTATAGGGCACATCCTCTCGGGAATTCCATCCCATAGCAGTGAGTCTACACTGAAGATCAACATCAGGCATTCTCAATGATCTCCCAGGAAGAGGACCCTGCACCTGAGCCCTGGCCACAATGACTTCACACGTGTCAGGGATACTCTAAGAGCCTTTGCTTTTTGGGACACGGGAGGCTAGAGAAATAGTACCAGAGAAAAGAGAGCCAAACACCCTAATTTTCAGCAGGTGACAGTGGCTTGCAGCTAAGGCTGTTCAGAGCCAGACCTCAGTCTTATTCCCTGCAATCTAGGTCTCTTCCTCGTGGCCAGGCTTTTACCCTCTCCCCAAGCTCCTAATACCCCATCCCTCATCCTCTGCCTCCCCAGGTAGAAATATCAGAGGGAAGCTCGGCTACTGGTCTTCACTCAACCAGCTTCTTCCATAGGAAATGTAGCGCTGAGCCCTGCAGCAGAAGCCAGGTTTCAGCAGCCAGCCTGTAAGTAATAGCCAGCCCATGAGGAAGGTGAGATGGAGTTGGAAGGTACCTGGGGAAAGAGGCCAAGCTGTCTGGAGTTTGCCAGACTCTTCCAGGAACCCAGGATCCAGGAGGGAAAGGCCTGTACATGGAGCTTGCAGGTGACAGAAAGGAAGGTCCATTCAGTTCAACCACAGGCAGAGGTACAGGGAGCGGGGAGGTCATCCTCACAGGCAGGATATCACTGGGTCCAAAATTCAAGGATTTCTCATAGAAATCCAGCTTCCAGAGAGTCTTGTGACCCTAATGTTTCCCTAAAATAACTCCATATTCAAGGATGTACTTTCAGGGTCATCACTATCTCCTTCTTAACAGCGATGAAAAGAGGGGGTAAAATTTCCATGTGCTCCCCACCCTGCACTCTGGGCCCACAGCATTACCCCGCTTCTGTGGGCAGAGGGAAAACACTGGACCTAGACACCCAACCCAGAAAATGCCCCCTTTTCATTCTAGGAAGGCCTCAGGGCCAAGGCACACAGGCTTACCCGAGGAACCAAGAGGAGTGAGAAGCAAGTACCATCACCAGTGGTCAAGACCCTACCCGCAGCACTCTGATCAGAGCATCCGTAGCAGCCCCAGTTCCAGCCCTGCAGCAGGGCTCTGGCCACCAGAATCAGGTGTGGGATACTCTACCTCTCTCTAACCCCCAACTGATGATGAAAAATCCAAGGGCCCTGAAAGAGAGCCCCACCAATGATAAAGAGCAGCAAGCCCAACTCCACACCCCACAGCCTAGCCTGCTCCCCAACTCACCCTGGGTTCTCAAAGCAATCTGCTGGCAGTCACCTCTACAGGGAGAGGAGCCCCAAAGCAGACTGTGACTTCCAGCTACATGTGGCAGCCTCCCTCCCCATCAAGGCTCCCCAGACACACACACAAACCCGTTGGTATGGAATCAGCTAAGGCTCTCCCTGGAGGGTGCGCCCAGCTACCAGGCCCAGGAGGCGCCCCAGAGCCAGCAGTGCACCACAGCATCCTGTCCATCCTGGTCTCCTGTATCACACATCATCACACATCATCTCCTGCTCCACATGAGTAGCACATCAAGAAGGCTCTTGCTGCACACCATCCCCTCACCACCTGTCCAGCTGGCACAGATCAAGGCATGGTCCCTTGTGTGGTCCTCTCTGTAGGCTGAGCTCCAGGAACAGACACACAATAAACACCTCTGTGTTCTAGAACAGACCTCACAGGCCTGGCACAGCCTCCCACCGTCAAGTAGCAGGGGTATAACATTTGCTAACTTTTCTCTTTTTAGGGCTAAATACTGGACGACAAAAAAGCAGAAGTCCAAGTTGCCCCTTCCCTTCAACTGAGGGATAAAACTTGGGGCCCACAGGAACCTTGAACATGCCAGTTGATGTGAATCACATATCCACTCAGATACCTGCCCCCTTCAGCCCTGTACCCAGGGCCACCTCTGAGTGACAGGGCAGGCTTACTAATAGCCACTGCTTCCTTGGTCTCAGATGAGCTCTGTGTCCTTGTTCCATGCTTTAGTCCCAGACATGATTAGCTGACCTGCACATGCTGTCCCCTGAAGGGCCAAAGCCAGCCTTGAGACATACTTGTACCAGCCAATATGCCCTCAGCCATCCCTTCTTGGGCAATGGCCTCCTAGCATCTGTCTCTCCTATGTCCAGAAACTGATGAGAGAGAAACTTGTGAGCGCTAAGGAAGGAAAACATACCATTTATCTTAATTAAACAAGAACACTGCTAGTATAATAATTATGCCAGGAAAACAAGCACAAAGGGGGCAAAGAGACACACGAAGTCCAAGAGACTGGGCGTTACTCAGAACACAGCCTGGACGCTGCACTCTATCAGCACCGCAGCACATCCTGCCACCGGGACACACTGTTCAGCACAGTGCAGGTGGGGCTGGTAAGACTGGGGAGACAGAGATGCTAAATAAAGGTCATTTAACCCCAATTTAAAAGGTGTATTCACATAACATCTCTCCCTCTGCCCAAGTTCTACAGTTATGTGGGGGAGGGGACAGAAGAGGCACAAAAACAGCTCGCTCTTGCATCGGTAGGTTTAACACACATGGCCTTGCCTACCCTCAAACCGCAAGCGACCAGCACCACCTATCTGTGCACATGGCTCACAGGCAGGCGGGGGTGAGTCCAGCAGCCCAAACAGGGTTGTCCGAATGACTCTCCCCAATACACAGACAGGGACTTAGTGTAACTTCCAAGCTACGTCAGACACATCAGGCACAGGAGGACCCATCTTCTAGGTGCTGTCTGCCAGCCACTGCATTCTCCCACAGCAACACATTCTGCTTCAGGATTCTCTAAGGGGGCATCAATACCGCAAGTGAGCACTAGAGGGCGCTGCTACCTTTGTTACAGAGGAACACCAGCAATTCGCAGAGGAAATACCCTGTGCAGAGGGTACCCGAAACTAGTCGTGTGGACCCCGGACCCCGGCTCGACAGCCTCAGCCACATTAGTTTATTCCAGTTTTGAGTCCAGCCTACAGTCTGATGCATGAACTCTCCCCCACCTTCTCATTTGTCCTCAGAAGCCCTAAGGAAGGCCAGGGTCAATTATTTTTTTCCTTCCAGGCCTGTCATTTCCTCCCTACAAGGCACACAGGGCCAAAGTTCTGCTGCCAGAGCTCACGGCCCAGGTTTCATCTCTCTGAGCCAGTACTTCACCCAAACAGCAGTCTCTCCCACCTTCTCTGGGTGGGTGGCCCCAAGCTACCCTCAGTGCCCTGAACAAACGGGCCTAGGAAGTGCAGAGATATCCAGAGTCCCCTGCAGTCTGCTGAGGACAGGCTCAGGATCCAAGTGTGAACAGAATGAAGCCTCAGCCTCCTTACATCCATCAGCGACCTAAATTCTCTAGACCCTGAAAGTCTCTTAGGAGACAGACATAAGAAAGGAAGAGAAAGAAGAAAATTTGAGATTGTTGGTAGCCTGAACTAATAACCGCCTATCAAGCAGTCACAGCCTGCAGAGTATAAGCAGAACCCTGTATGCTCACCTACAAACCTCTCAGAGAAGACCTCAGTACCTGCCCTGCTGTGGAAGAGACCCAAAGACACCCACAGACATTGCACCTGGGCCCATGGTCTGCACCCTTCTGCCCAAGCCCCCAGCTCCTTCCCTGTCGTCCAAGTCATCGGCCTCCCTCCACCTCAAATACCTGACTATCACAGGACCATCAGGCTGACCCTGGATAGCTAGCAAAGGGTCTAACCCCTTCTTCCCAAGCGTCCTTAGATTGCAGGTGGCCAAGTCTCTGGAGCACTAGCAGTAGGGGCTGGACAATAGGGACAAGAACTACCATACTAAACTATCCCATACTCCTCACCTGTGAGGCCCTAAGGAGATCAGTTGGCCTAACATGGGGGCCGGCATGAAAAGGCCCCACAGAATCTCCCTCCTCCTCACAGCAGTCACTATTCCACAAGGAAAGAGGAAAAATAGGACTACAGGGTTCCTCTCCCCACTGCTAGAGGAGAGCGGTACGGTTTCCCACGTACTACCTCCTGACCCCTCACCGCTGGGGCCTGGCTTCCCTCCCACCTGTCCCTACATCCATTGGTGACTAAGGGGCTTGGTGAGGGAATGGAAGCAACTGACCTCTAGGCTCTCACCAGCTGGACCGCCACAGATGGTGTCACCTGGGGCTGGAAAGGGGAGACGGGTCTCTGTGACCTACCCCTGGGGCCCTTGCTGGACTCTGCCAGGCCACACAGCCTTCTCCCCTAGCTCGGAGGGAGGAGGCAGCCAAGGGGTCAGGGTGGAGGTCAGGGTCTCTGTCCTGGACCCAACTGGAGGACTCAGCACATTCAAAACAGGTCAGCCATCATCAGCACTCCCTACAGAGCTGTACCCAAAACCAGGAGACACAGAGGCCAGAGCTCCAGTAGTCCCCAAGAATAGGGGTCACATTTTTCAGGGAGTTGCCATAGCATCTTGGGGTTGGAAGAGGGTTGGAGAATAAATTATTTGACTCCTATCTCTCAGGAGAAGAGATACCAGAGTCAGCAGGGCAGCTGAGAGTAACAGTCTAGCTTCGGAGTGGGACAGTCCCCAGCTATGACCTCCCTACCAGCCAAAGCTTTCTTACTTTGAGGCCAGATGGCAGAAGGTGGAGGTCAGGAAGCCAAGAACACAGAAGTGTCCCTGCTCTGCTTTATCCTCTCCTCCTCAGGGGCTGAGTATGCCAACTCATGCAGAAGCTTAGGACGATCTCATCTATAGAACCTTCAAGGCACCGCTGCAACTCACCTGTGTCCATGTGACAGAAAGAGCCTTGGCTGAGGGAGACAGGGTACTCCTGCTTTACCATGCAAAGCCAGAGCCCCAGCAGCCTACCCAAGGGCCATATCTGCTCCCTGTTCCCTGCCCCAGGCTCCAGGCAGCAAACACCCAGCATCCTCCCTAGGAACAGAACTGGTCTACCCAAGCACATACCTGGGTTTCTGAGTTGATTCCTTGGATTCTCTCAGGCCAAACCAGCTACTCTTGGGCTTTTCCTCCCCACTGGACAAATGTTGGGGAGAAGCCCCTAGTGGGAGACCTCCCTTCTCCCCCACAGAACCACGACGCCCCAACTCGCTGCGATTCAGGCCCTGGTGATGATGGTGGTGGAAAAGGCCCATCCGGGGCTTACGTTCCTCCTTCCGAGCGCCTTCCTTCTCGATCACAGCCTCAGAGGAGGCCAGTATGGGCATGGCAACCTGGACAGGCTTCCCCTCTGGGGGGTGGGCCCGCTCCTCTCCAGACAGCGCTTTGGCCTCAGTGCTCAGCTCCTCCTGTGTGGGCACCACTTCGGACGAGCTGCCAGCATCTCGGCTGCCTCTGGCCCATGAGTCATCCGAGGACCGAGACCCCTCCTCAGAGGGCCGGGAAGAGACGCTGTGAAGGGAGCTGGAGGCGGGGAAGGGGCCTGAAATGGAGCTGCGGTGCCGCACAGGGGGTTGGGGCTCTTCATTGTAAATGTGGCTCCCATTAACACAGAGTGAAGAGCGGGGGGCAGCATCAAGGTGGTCAAGAAGTGCCCGGGGAGGGGCTGCACGCAGCTGGCTGGCCTCGTCACTATAGGTCCTCTTATGTGTGAGCAACTTGGGGGACTGTGTAGATTCCCTGCCTGCAAAAGAGACACATGCAGAGTTAGCACAAGTGAAGAGGAGCCCGGGCCCTCCTCACCGGGGCACGCAGCCCTCCCTCACTCACCCCCTTCACTGGAGAGCCAGCTGCTGCGGCTCGGCGAGCGCGTGAGGAGCTCCGCACCAGGGCCCTGGTAGGCCAGGGTCCCACTGGCCGAGGACAAAGTGCTGTCCGAGCCCAGTGAGGTGTTGGACTGAGTCAGAGATGACTTGCGCAGCTTGTTACGGAGGAAGAAGCCTTTGGCTTTGCCCATCTTGCCCAGGCTGCCCAGCTCGGGATCGTCTAGGGCACTGCTCGGGAGGATGGCAGAGGCCGACTCCAGGTCAAACTTTTTCTTGCCCTTCATTTTATCCTTCAGCTTGCTGAAGGGGGACCGAGGCTTGTCCTTAATGGACAGGTCAAACATGCTGGCGCTCAAGTTGTTGCGAGTGAACTGGATGGTGACTTGGATCTCTCCACGTTCCTTCTCCCTTTTGCCTGCCCTGGAGTGCAGCTTGTACCATCTGTGAGAGAGGGTGGGCAGAGTTCTGGTGACAGGGCCAGTCACTCGGCTCCCCCCGCACCCAGCACCGCACTGTGTCTCTTCCCACAGGCCCTGCTCTGACACACCAGGCTGGCTATGCCACAGGTGCAGCTGAGAAACTGTCCAAACTATCCAAACCCACATCCTGAGAGGACAAGCACCTCAGGAACACCAAGCAGGGCAGAGGTTACCGCGCCATGCACCGCTCAGCCAGTGCTTTGTCCTGGAGCTCAGAGACGCCAGGCTGTTTGATCTTCCCAACGTCTGAAACTCTGAGCTGGGCCTGGGAGGGCCACCATCTATCTTGGCCCTGGTACAGACAGATCTACCCACAGTCTTCCCTGGTAACATCATGTCCTCTAGCCAGTCCCAGTCAAAGCTCTACTGAGCCATCAGAAAAGAACAGCTCACACGGAGCCCCAGGCCAGGAACACTAGTACATGCACACATACACACACTCAACCTCACCCACACAGTGACTCACCCCCTCCTCCTGCCAAAATACCTCTGCAAGCTGGCAGAGCAGGCCAGAATGGCCAGGAGACCCCGGCTGGGCTGGCGGTGGGGCTCTCATCTGCTGATGAGTACTCCTCACTCCCCTTCACACCTCACAAGGAGGCACTTGGGGCAGGAAGACTCACCCCTGCTGCAGGTCAGGAGGGTGACACTCAGATGAAAAAATGCAGCAGAGAACAAGCAGACAGGGAAGGAGAGGTGGGTCACAGCCTGCGTTCTTCCCAATCCACACTCCCCAGGGAGACAGACAAAGGACCCCTAACAACCATGACACAAGGTGAACAGAGGCTGCTGTCAGGGTAGGGGGAACCAGGCAGGAGTGAGCAACTTCTTAGACAGTTAAGTGTAATCTCACTGTACAAGCAACAATTGCTCCTCGATTTTTACATATGGAGGTGAAAACGTATGTCCATAGGAAATCCTGCACATAAATGTTCACGGTACCTCTATTTATAACTGCCAAAACCTGGAAGCTATGAAGATGTCCCTCAGTAGGTAAACGGACAAGGAAACAGTACATCCAGAGAATGGAATATACTACAATGCAATAATAAGCTGTCAAGCTGGGAAAAGACAATGAAAGATTTGAAGGGTGATCTGAAAAGGCTAAATACTTTGATTCTGACATAGATCTTTCTGGAAAGAGCAAATCTATAAAGATGGTAAAAAGATCAGTAATTACCAGGAGGGAAGAAGAAAAGATACTGGATGTTTAGGGAGTGAAACTCTATTCCATGTGACTAATAGCAAGTGTATGTCTTCACATTTTTCAGAACCCATAAAATGTACCCTACAGAGAGTGAAGCCTGATAGAAGTTACACACTCCAGTTAACACCGATGTACTGATGTTGGCCCATCAACTGTAAAAAACGCATTACACTAATAATGTAGTCAGAGGAGGAACTGAGGGGATATATGAGGCTCATACTTTTTACTGTATAAACCCCATAGTACTCTAAAAGTAAGTGCTAAAGCTATACTTTCAAGGGTTGTATGGATAGTGTTAAAAATAAGTTCTACTCAAGGCCACCCTGAACTGCATAGTGAGACTATGTCTCAATAAATAAGTGAATAAATGTTCTAATAATGAAAAAAAGAAAACAAAAAGTAAAAAAATACGAAGGAAATAATACAAAAAAGTTTTCCTGGGGGCTGGGGATTTAGCTCAGTGGCATAAGCGCCTACCTGGCAAGTGTGAGGTCATGAGTTCAATCTTTGGTACCAAAAAAAAAAAAAGTTTTCCTGATCTGATGGACAAGAGCAGTAACCAGCAGAAAGGCCCACCCTGGGCCTGATCCTTTAAGACTTTAAGGCTACACCCCAGTCACTTTCCCCAAACCCAGACCAGGCCCCATTTAGCACAGGAAGACCCTAGAGGAAGAGCAAAAGAGAAGTTCATGAACGTCACCCCTCAATGCAAGCAAGCCCCACCTTAGTAACTGGAATCAGCAACACAGATGCCCCTGCTGGGCAGGCAGGTCAAGGGTGCTAGGCCCCAGCTGGTCACATTCCACACATGCAGTGGTAACAGTGGTTATCTCTGGGGCGTGGGACTACAGGAACTATCACTTCCTACACTGGCTATTTTTGTCCAGTTTGAAGTTTTTATAAGCTTTTATAAGAAGCTTTGTATTACTCCAGCTCCTATCTTATCCCTCAGCTTCCTGAGCCTTAGAATGCAACTCTCCTCTCCCACCCCTGAAGTGAAGGCATGGGCATCACTCACCAGTGAGGCTGGGCCCTCTACCAGACGGGTCCCCCTGCCCCATAGCGTCTCTTCCCCCGGGGAATTCAGGTGTCTCTCTGAACACGCATTTCATGTGGCTAGGAAAGGGTGGGGAAAGGCTTTCCTTGGTAAGAATGAAACTGAGGCCAGGTGTGGTGGCCTGTAATCCCAGCACTCAGGAGGCTGAGGCAAGAGGGTCACTGCGAGTTCGAGACCAGCCTAGGCTACAAAGTGAGCACAAGGCCAGCCTGAACTGCATAGTGAGAACAAAAAAGAATGAAGCTGAGAATAGTAGACCTGCCTCCAGACCTAACATCCACGCCCTTCTGTCCCCAGCAACCCATCCCATCTCCCTCTGCCCACCAGTCCAGGCAGGGCTGAGCAGGACACTGCTGGCTGACTTGGGAACCTGAGGACTTAACCAGAGCAGGCTTTCTCCTAGAAGTGTGACTTACTCAGGCTGAGATGGCAAGACACACAGCCAGCAGCTCCTGAATGAAGGTGTACGCCCACTGCCACCACCAAAGCTCCCCCGCTCCTGGACCAGGCATCCCTCAAGAAGTACTGCCAGGCACTGTGGCACTCTTTCCGCTGGAGGCTGCAGCCGCAAACACTGCCGATGTGGACAGGAGGAGCCCTGACTTACACAGCTGGCCTCTGGCTCTCTCCAGAATCTCACACCTGGCAGACTCAAGAGGTAAACTGGCTCCGAGCAGCTCATCCCTGCAGACTGAGAAAGAAGGTGGTCGCAAGCAGCCAACAATGCTTCTGATCAATCCCCTCATTCTCCTCCACAGCTTTGAGCTCCGGGGACTCTGGGTGTTGATCCCTAAATCTGAGCACAGTACCTGGCCTTCACAGCGACATTGGCTCTCTTAACAAACTCCCTGATCCCCAGGACTGTACACAGAGGAGACGGTCCCCAAGGCATTCCTTTCCCCTCACTGCCTTTCACCCTGCCTGCCTGCCTGTGTGGGACATCACACCTCTGAGGCCCACGCTGAGGCTTGACCTGTCACTCCCATACAGCCCGAGACCCAGCCAACAGAATCACTCAGGATTGGGGCTGGGGATTTAGCTCAGCGGCATAAGCACCTGCCTTGCAAGCAGGTGGTTATGAGTTCGATCCCCGTGACCGATTAAAAAAAAAAAAGAAAAGAATCAGTCAGGATTCACCCAAGGTTCCAACACACACCTTGGTGGTGGCTCACGGGACAGAGCTCTTTTCTTCAGAGACATGAAGAATGTAAATACCAAAACACTACCCAACTCTTACTGAACCATAAGGCCCAAGGCCAGGAACCTGTATTTGAGGAGGGGGCAGTTTCAGATGAATGCACATAACCTCATGTGGGAACCACGGTGGGAACGGCATAGTCCCTGCTTCCTCTGTATCACCTGGCAGGTCAGAGTGCACCTTTCCCTCTGCCTGGCTTCACTGTCAAGACACTAATGGGGGCCCAGGAAAAACCTGTCACTCTGTGCCTGGTTAAGGCATGCATTCCCAAGTCCGGAGGTCACACTGCTTCTGGGAGGACTGATTCTAGCAAACCCTAGAAATGGCCAGCCCTGCTCAGTCACCCTCTCAGAAGAGGGTGACTTGCCAGAGGATGTACACATGGGTGAGAGTTGGCACCATTAAGTACTTCCTATAAATTAACAGTACTGCTGGACGTGGTGGGGTACATTCATAATCCCAGCACCTGGAAGGCTGAAGGAGGATCACTGTAAATTGGAGGTTAGTCTAGGCTACATACTGAGTTCAAAGCCAGCCTGAGCTATACAGCAAGACCCTGTCTCAACAACTACCCCTGCCAACCAAAATTAAATACACTAAGAGTGCTAAGAACTAGGCCTATTCGAGAAATACAAATTAAAACACTGAGATTCCGTCTCATTTCAGAAAGAATGGCTATCATTAAGGAATCAATAACAAATGCTGGAAGGCTAGGGGCAGTTCTCCATTGTTGGTCAGCCTGTACAACTATTGGTACAACTACTATGGAAATCAGTATGAAGATTCCTCAAAAAAACTAAAATGACCACCATTTGACCCTGCTATTCCCCTTCCCAAAAGAATTAAAGTTATCATACCATAGTGATACATGCACAACCCATGTTTGTAAGAGCACAATTTATAAGAGCTAAGTCTTGGAAATAGCCCACATGTCCACCACAGATGAATCAATAAAGGAAATGCAGTATCTAGGTACAAGGCAGTGCTACTCTGCCAGAAAGATAAACTTCAGACATTTTTCAGTAAAAGAACACACCTCGAGACCATAACTTTGAAATAAATAAGTCAGACACACAAGTTTAAATAGCACATCGTTTCTCGTATGACAGAAACTCAAAGTATAAATAAGGAACAAAATGCAGAGTAGACAGCTCCGTAGGAAGAACTTGTTCAAACAGGAAGAGGAAACAGATTGGGGAGGGGGGAAGGAAGGGAAAAGAGATTTAAAGGAAAAAGAATTTGAAGAAAAAGTGGAAAAGATTTTATAAGTGGGGAGAGAAAGAGGGGAGGGGGGGAGGGGGCCAAAAAGAAGAATTAAGAATTGTTACGTACATGTACAAATGCCCCATGATGAAGTGATCATTATGTCCTGCAAATACTGAAGGAATTTTGGGATTTTGTCCATTATCCAGACCTTCAAAATCTTGTCAGGGACAAACCACCGGGGACCCCTTCTGTTTCTCCCTTGGACAAAAACTTTCTTTCTCTCAACAAATATAT